TCATGGGCCCCTCGTGGCTCCCCTGACTGACTTCTTTCGCCTATATATATCAATATACCCTAAAAACATCGGGGAGCAGAATAGATCGGGAGTTCTGCCGCCAGAAGCCTCCGTAGCCACCGAAAACCAATCTAGACCCGTTCCGGCACCCTGCCAGAGGGGGGAATCCCTCTCCGGTGGCCATCTTCATCATCCTGACGCTCTCCATGACGAGGAGGGAGTAGTTCACCCTCAGGGTTGAGGGTACGTACTAGTAGCTATGTGTTTGATCTCTCTCTCGTGTTCTTGAGGTGGTCCGATCTTGATGTATCGCAAGCTTTGCTATTATGGTTGGATCTTATAATGTTTCTCCCCCTCTACTCTCTTGTGATGAATTGAGTTTTCCCTTTGAAGTTATCTTATCGGATTGAGTCTTTAAGGATTTGAGAACACTTGATGTATGTCTTGCATGTGCTTATCTGTGGTGACAATGGGATATCACGTGATCCACTTGATGTATGTTTTGGTGATCAACTTGCGAGTTCCGTGACCTCGTGAACTTATGCATAGGGGTTGGCACACGTTTTCGTCTTGACTCTCCGGTAGAAACTTTGGGGCACTCTTTGAAGTTCTTTGTGTTGGTTGAATAGATGAATATGAGATTGTGTGATGTATATCGTATAATCATACCCACAGATACTTGAGGTGACATTGGAGTATCTAGGTGACATTAGGGTTTTGGTTGATTTGTGTCTTAAGGTGTTATTCTAGTACGAACTCTACGATAGATTGAACGGAAAGAATAGCTTCGCGTTATTTTACTACGAACTCTTGAATAGATCGATGAGAAAGGATAACTTTGAGGTGGTTTCGTACCCTACCATAATATCTTTGTTTGTTCTCCGCTATTAGTGACTTTGGAGTGACTCTTTGTTGCATGTTGAGGAATAGTTATATGATCCAATTATGTTATTATTGTTGAGAGAACTTGCACTAGTGAAAGTATGAACCATAGACCTTGTTTCAATGCATTGCAATACCGTTTACGCTCATTTTTATCATTAGTTACCTTGCTGTTTTTATATTTTCAGATTATAAAAACCTATACCTACCATCCATATTGCACTTGTATCACCATCTCTTTGCCGAACTAGTGCACCTATACAATTTGCCATTGTATTGGGTGTGTTGGGGAAACCAGAGACTCTTTGTTATTTGGTTGCAGGGTTGTTTGAGAGAGACCATCTTCAACCTATGCCTCCCACGGATTGATAAACCTTAGGTCATCCACTTGAGGGAAATTTGCTACTTCCTACAAACCTCTGCACTTGGAGGCCCAACAACGTCTACAAGAAGAAGGTTGCGTAGTAGACATCAATGCATTGCAGCACCATTGCGAACTGCTGGCGGCGAGCTGCGTTGTAGCGCGCCTTCGACCTCCTCCCCCTTGGGTGCTGCATTGCAGCACCAGTGCGAGCTACCGACAGTGGGTTGCGTTGCAGCACCGACATGGTGCAGCCCCAACTCTGGCCTGCCTCTTCCTGCTGCGTTGCAGCACCGACGCGTGCGGTGGCAGCCGTCATTCCTCTCGAATTGCAGCAGCGATGGCATGGTGGTCGATGTCTCCTCTCCTAACACTGATGGTTATCCATCACAGCAGCAGCAATGGCAGCAGAGGAAAAAAATCAAGGCCATGGCAAGCAACCCTACGAGAGAAAGCCACGGAGAAGAAAGGGGATTGCGTTGTGAAAGGATAGGGATGGGTGGTTCGCGTGCGATAGGAAAACGATCGTAATCAACCGACTGATTTTCAACTCGCGTAAACTGCTCCCTACACGCGCCACACATCCTTTCACTCTTTCCTTACCACATGCAAACCACCCATCACTCTTTCCTTATCCATGCAGCAGGAAGAGGGAGGCCGGAGTTAGGGTTGCACCCTGCCAGTGCTGCAACGCGGCTCACTGCCGGCAGCTCGCGGTGGTGCTACAACACATCACCCAAGGGAGAGGAGGTCGAAGGCGCGCTGCAACGCAGCTCGCCATCAGCAGTTCGCAACAGTGTTGCATCGCATCACACAAGGAAGAGGAGGCCGGAGGCGTCGGTGCTACAACCCAGCTCGCCGTCGGTGCTGCAAGTGCTGTGACCATGCATCTCGCCGACGACAGAGCTGCCGGTGGTGGAGCTGCAATGTAATGCATGGGGTGTTGCGAGCCTGCGACCAACGGATCTCGCTGGCGGTGAAGCTTCACTTCAATGCCCAAGTTTTTTCTGCGTGGTGGAGTGGCAACTGCGAGTTGGACGGCGATACGTACGACGACGACGGACACGTTGCGTTTGCTGCTGCAAGTGTCCAGAGGTCAGAGGAGAACGAGGCAGAGGCTAGATCGATGCGTTGAGAGCAGATCGAAGCGGCACTGCGTTGACCCATCCAACAGGAACGAGGGACGGATCCGACAGTTCGCTACCCGATTGATTTCCTGGAGAAATCAGTCGGCTGATTTGTAGCACTCGCCTTTGATAAATCGCAATTACCTAATCATGCGCGCGCTTGTTGGCTAAAACGAGCGGACGCCCTCACAGTCACAGGCATGCATGGAAAAAGATTTGTCTGATAGCGCATGCATGGTGTAGCACTAAATGCGTTTGTACTAGTCACTTTGACTTAGAGAAAACAGATTTACATGCATTTATTTTGGGTTTCTGAATGTTTAAAAAGTCATATATTTCAAACCGTGCATCCGAATTTAGATCCGTTTTCACCATTGGAATCTCCGTGATGAGATCTTTTAAAAGAGATCCCGCATGAGTATGTTTCGACGATTTTTTATGCCGACTTTATTGCTATATGGTGTAACTCTGTTACTACACGGTGCATCTTTAGTATTGCATGGTGCAATTTCTTATAAAACCAATTTTTAGAGTTGCATGATCCATTTTCCTATGTGGTTGCAACCTAGCAACCATGGCAACCAACTTTTTGAGTCATGCAACTAGTTTATTGTCCCATCCAACTACCTAGTAGTCGATGTGCAACTCTCCTTCCTACTCATGGATGTGTACTATTTCACTATCTGCACATCCTGCCCCACCCTAGCCTACCAACGATATGTGCAAGTTAGTCTGTTGTTGCAGCCAACTACCTAGTAGTCAATGTGCAACCTTTTTCCCTTCCTACTTGTGAATGTGTAGTTTTAGTTGGCAGTGGAACAGACTAAGTTGCACATAGTCTGCAAGACAGTTGGCTGGGACAATAGGCGAAGTTGCACATCTCACTAGCAGGGATTTGTTGGATGGTAAAAAACTACACATCCATAAGAGAAAAGAAAAGTTGCCTATATGCAGGCCATAAAGTTGGACATCTCACTAACAAGGGGTGATTGGGACTAGGTGCTTGCAGTGAAAACTACACTTCCGTGAGGTACGAGAGAAAATTGCAAGACGACTGTTAGGCAGTTGGTCGTGGTAGCATCCAAAGTTGCACATCCAGTACTAGGTTGTTGGCCAAGGCAACAATAGTGAAAACTACACATTTACAGGTAGGGGAAAAGTTGCACATCAACTACTAGCTAGTTGGACGGGGCAGTAGACGAAGTTGCACATCTCAATGGTAGAGGATATTTTAGGGTGGATGTGGCATTAGTGAAAACTGCATGTCCACGGGGCAGAGGGAAAGTTGCACATCGAGTGTCAGTTAGTTGCACATCAACTACTAGGCACTTGCACCTAACAAGGACTAAATTGCACACAAAAAGTTCGTCGAAACATATCCATACAAGATCTAGTTTTGAAGAGCACGTCATGAGGATGCGTACGGTGAAAGCGAATCTTAATTTTGATGTTCGTTTCAAAATTTATGACTTCTAAAAAAAATGAAAACCAAAACAAATGTGTTCATACCTGTTTGCATCAGTGAAAAATGCACGCTCACAAGTAGGGGGAGTTGCACATCCACCGCTAGGTAGTTGCACATAGACTACTAGACAGTTGCACGAAACGGAAAATAAATTGCACACACAAAAGTTCGTCGAAACATCACATGCGTGATCTAGTTTTGAAGAGCACGTCGTGAAGATTCCAATGGTGAAAACAGATTGCAATTCCGACGCGCAAATTGAAAGTTATGCCTTTTTAAAATTTTGAAACAAAAAATTAAATGCACAAAAGAATAAAGTGCATGCACCGAAAGATATGGCTATGCTGCTATTTAATACAGTTTTGCTAAAGCACATCTAGATGTGCCATAAGTATTGCACATCTAAGTCATATATCATTGATTTTACGTTGAGATTCGTGTGAGTATTTTTTTCTTTTTTCTTTTCCTCTTTGTGCTTCATTCACTCACTTAGATGTGCAATAACTAGAGCACATCTAGATGTGTTCTAGACACACCCTATTTAATACGTCACGGGAAAATGACTTAGATGAAAAAAAAATTTAATTAGAAAAAGGGACAAAAAGTTTCTTCAAATAACCGACCGCTCGCTAACTATACTAGGCGGCTGGGCGCCGGCTAGACGCGTCCGGATCTAGCCTCACTAATTTGAGGATTTTTTTTCTTTTTGAAAATCAGGGGCCTCCCCCGGCTCCAAATTTTCATCATCCAGCGAAAACCACATGGATGGCGTCCGCCTCACGAGGGTTCTTCTGCTGATACTCTAGTGTGCTCCTCCCGCAGTGTGCAGCTCCACGTAGCTTTAGTCCACGACGGGGTCTCCAGCCCTTGCTTGCAGCTCGTTACCCCGGTTCCAGCTCCAGAGGATTTTTTTGTTTTTGTTTTTGGGAACTACGAACAAGGCATCTTGTGTATGGGCCTCGCCTTGTGGACTCGTTCAGACAATGGGCCGTGTGGTCTGGCCCAAAATACTGCGCCTCACATGCCGCAAGATCTCACGGAGCCAAACCACACCCGCACCAGAGTCGTCCCCACCACGCACGGGAAAACCTCGCAGGCAACCGGCCTCCTCCTCCACCGCCGCCGCCGCCGCCGCCGTCGAAGCATCAGAAGCAGCAAGAGTAAGATGTCGTTCCGGGCGCGGGAGATTTACAAGAAGGTGGTGCGCCGCGTGGGCGGGGAGGGGAAGCTGCCGGCGGAGGTGATGGACACAGTGAAGAACATACTCCCGAATAGCAAGGTCGTCATGGGCCGGGCCAAGCGCGGCATCTTCGCCGGCCGCCACATCCAGTTCGGCAACAAGGTCTCCGAGGACGGCGGCAACAAGTATGCAAATTCTCACCCGCCTCTTCCCTCGTGCAATCTCTTCTGATCCATGCGCGCATAC